CGCCCCTGTAGCGCTGAGCGCGCCAGGTAGGGGGGTCCAGTGCCGATGCGAGAAATCCGCGTGGACCTCCGAAAGCTGATATTTGCACCGTTTCTTGTCAGCAATTAGGAGCGGTGACACTTTGCAACCCCTTTCAGAGCCCTACCCCTCCAGGTCCACTCGACGCTGGGGCATCGGACGCACACCCACGGGGGTCCACTGGACTGCAGACGTCCTTCGAATTCTGAACCCCCGCCAGTTCTTCAGAAATCTGACCTGGATGGGGGAGGACTCACATGTCGTTGCCAAAAAATGCACACGTGCATGAAGTGTCGCCGGTTTTGATGGTACGTGTGTTTTGCTCGAGACTTCGCAGTGCGAGGGTGGCCTCGCCCATTGGGGGGGTCGTTTTCATGTGCGTGGCTGGGCGCGTACGTCTTTTGTGGGCTCACCCTGTCAGTGCAGGGCCACGCAAACCACGAGCGACCTCTCCGCCGCCTCCCTCTCAGCTTGTTCTTCTCATACCATGTTTGTCACCTGGTGGTTTCTCGTCGCCACGGCTGGATTCCCGTCGAAGTCCTGCTCAAAATTTACTCGCGGAGGGTCTGTTGTCGACCTTGAGGGACGGCACAACAAAAACAGTTCCTGACAGAAGCGGGTTCAGAATGACTCCCGTCGGTTGGGGCTCTGGGGGCAGTTCCCGTGCCCTCACGGTCGTCAAACACAGCCGCGGATAGAAAGTTGGGCCATATGAGGCGTTGGGATCCAGGGCCCGGTCACCCCACGCCATAAGATGGAGAGGAATGTGTTGGCTTCTACTTCGAACTGGCCGCCCCGTCAGGTTCTTGATTCGCTGAGTCTGCAGGGAGCAGGGTGGACCGATTGTGCAATGGATGCGCCGAGAATTGGCCGAGAATGGTTTCTCTCTGGCTTTCAGGCGTTTTGAGGAAGACGCTCAGGCACCCCTCGCTTCCCGAGACGGGAGTTATGGAGTTCTGGATTTCGACTAGGGTCCAAAATGCTATCATGGATGCTTGGCGATTACTTACTTCCAAAGCCTACTTGCCGCGCTGCTCCTGGGCCTGTCGGGCGTCATCGTGTAGACTAAGCCTCACGGTTCCGAGACCAGGGGATATTATGATGATGTTGATGATGATGATGATGTTGTTGTTGATTATGATGTTGATGAGAACGATATTGATGTTGTGATGATGCTGATTATGTTGACGATGAGGGTGATGATGATGGTGTTGGTGATGATGATGATTATGTTGACAATGATGAGGATGAGGAGGAATAGCAGGAGGCGCTCTCTGCCTCCAACGTCGCCGCGTCAACCCGTCGGCCAGGCTGCAGTCCTAGGTTAGCGTCCGCCGTGTCCTTCCAGCCTCTCTCCTCTTTCAGCCTCTCTGTCTCTCTCTGCTTCTGTATCTGATTATGTATATTGTTATTGTTGTTGTTCTCCCCCTCTCTCATTTCCTCTCTCTGTCTTTCTCTCTCTCTCTCTCTCACTCTCTCCCTTTCACCCCCTGTACATAGAATGGGAGAGAAAGAGAGAGATAGGAATGGAGAGCGAGCGAGAGTCTGGGCTCGAGTGCGCTGGTGTTCAGGGCAAGCTGCGACGCGTACCCCCCTCCCCCGCACTCGTCCCCCGCTATACAGACTGGAGCCGCGTCTTACAGCGCAAGACTGATAGGTGTGTTTCGTACCTCTACGCCGCCGCGATGGCCACACAAAAGCTTCACTGCACGCGAGCCACTTCGAA